ACCGGAGGCTACGGGGTATTATGCTGGCCATGTGCTCCATAACCTTAAACCCAAAACCCTTGTACAATAGTTTTCCATGTTAATCGTTTTCTTCATCCTTGGGAAAGTATGTATATCATTTTATTACATTAACTGTTAATTGTATGTTACTGTGTATTTATTTGAATTTATAATAAAATAGGCTCTGATGATGGCATTATAAGGTGCCGAAGCCGGGTGAACCCAGCATTTAGTCTTTTTTTTCACCTGTCTAATGACCTCTACGAAGATTGGAACCCTACATAGTTTTCATAATGTTATTGCAATTAATTTAAAAAAACAGGTGATGTAAGTTTAATTTTTAAAAAGTAGAGAAAAAATTGTTCTCTTAAATATTTAATAAAACTATAACTTCATCCTATAATTAATTTAATAAGTTTTTCGATAGGATTCACTTACTGCATTGAGCGTATGTACATCGGGTTCTTCTTTTGTATCTTTTTAGCTTTGATTAGTTCAATGGCAACCTTGAATATTTTATGCAATATTCTTTTCTCTTTTTTTCATAATATGAAGATGTGTTTATAAATAATTTTTCTTTCGCGACAGACCTCTAGTTAAATCCTATAGGATCACAGGGGATATTGCGGTTGTGGTTGACTATTGCCACATTGTCTTTCCTTTTCTCCCCCACATCGGCAAACCCATCTCCCGGACACAATTGAAAAACAGATTGCTTTTTGACGTAACCGGGATGCCAGTGTGTCCGTTTACTTCTTCCGATCTGGGATATTACTGTCGAAAGCCGTCTCCCAACTCGGAAAGGAGAGGACATCGAATAATATTGCACTATTACTATCTTATAATAGCCAATTTAAAGAACGGCGATTTTATGTTATGACATCGGCTTTCTTCCAACATGTTCTCTTCTTCGTTTATCCGTTTGTGCTCGCGGTCCTTTCCTAATAGATTTCCCGTAACAGACTGTCTTTATTACGAAATGTAGAAATCGCAGTTTTCAATTTCAGCCGATAGCTATTGGGTCAAACGTTCATAAATGAGAAATCTTTAATGGATTTTAGAGGGGTTGTCAGGATCGCTTTGGTCTTTAAAATAAAGAATCTAATGATTTAACTGTTATCATTACCATTGACTATTATTTGACAACAATGACCAAAAATTAAAGAACGTAGAAATATTATTAAATAATAATTTATTAACAAGAAGAAAAATAACGGAACGTCGGTGTTAAATCCCACAGATTATCCCCAAATCTAAACGAGTTTTTAAATGTCTCTTTTTTCCCCTCGGTCGTCTTTATACTTTTATCAAAGGCACAATCTTGAAGGCTGTCATTCGTTTGTAGGAATTAAAATCATTCGGTCGGAATACGACTTTCCCCCCCATGTATGAATTTTTGATGAATATATCCGTTTTACAACGGATTTTTTTCTAAAAAAGATAAGCCGGCTTTTTCCTCGGGCAGTTAACATCTACGGCACGTACAGACGTGTACGACTTTTTTTGGTGTGTTTTCAAAGCGTAGGTGGGCAAAGTGGGCTGAGCCTTTTCGTGAACTATCTGTTGATTTCAACATGGCAGATAAAAGAACTAATATTTAAATAAATAATTACGAGGGAATAATGTCATAATCTGCTTAAATGTATATTTGAACAAATCCTTAAGCTTTGATACTACAAAAGTTTTGATTCTGCAAGGTGTATGCATGTATGCATCTGTATGTGCAATTTTTCTTTACATTTTTTCCTTTTTCCTCCAACACTACCCTGTCGAACTATTGATGCTGGTCGGACTTCTGACAGGACATGAGGTTCCCGCATACTCGGTCGTCCTTAAAAGGACAATGAGGATCTCTAACGTCCGCACCTAGCCGATTAGGATTATAGATTCTCAAGTTGAGAGCTGACGCACTTCCGCATACGACTGACGGGTGTTACAGCCGCAGCGTCGGTGTAGAGGCTGCCCCAGCCCCGAGGGCCCAAGACGAACCTCGCTCTCCGCTTGCCCATTCCGAGTGGTTGGGTCCGCACTGAACATCGAACCGTATACCGCGCGCAAAGGGCTACCTAGGCCGAAATACATCAGCCTACCGACAGGACATTGCCACTTAAGAAAGCATATACCAGGAATAGGAGTTCAGACAGAAGAAACACTGAGCAGATATTGCCAGGAAGAGGAGGATACCGCAGAACACATTTTATGTTTCTGTGAAGGTCACTGTAGGTGCAGGTTCTTGCAACGAAGACAGGAAAAACCGCAAGCAAGATCCTACACTAAGGAGCCGCTGGCAAAGCTATGGAGGCTGATTAACAATTGAAGGTGGCAAATGAGTTAACAAAAAACAGGGAGAACAATATCTATTCAGGTCGAGGTGCAGAAGGAATTGTGGCCGCCTCTTTTATCTCTATCTCTATGTGATGCCGTTTTATTATTTACACTAAACGACAAAGAATTTATCTAATTATAAATATATTTATTTAATTATATAACCAGTATCCATATAAGTGAAATACATCGGAAAATGGAAAGCAAGATGACGTGGAATCCCTGCGTTAAACGGGACACAAAATAAGAAGACCAAAATTAGAAATGACTGCAAACAACACTACAAAACAATAATTTGGACATGCAGAGCAGAACTGTGGATTACCATGAAGCCTTCCAATATCCACCCATCCAAGCATTCTAATCACAAGTCTTCAGAAGGATTCTCCAAGCTTCCTACTATGTTTCTGACCCCACTCTCCTCAATTACCTCAATATTCCCAAAGTTGAAATTTAATCCTTTTTCGGTTCCTTAAGTTCCACTCTAACCCTTAAACCTCTAACCTTAAAGGACACTGATCCGGAGACCAACTCGCCCGCTAATCCCTCAGCAACGAGAGTGACACCCTAAGCTGGTTTCTCAAGACGTGTGTAATCCGGGAAAAAATCGAAAGAAAGTAGTACGTAAAGTAAGTTGTACGAATGTAAATACAGGATACAAAACAATAATAAATAAATAAAAACCTAACTTAACGATCTTTTTGATGTTCGACGTTATAAAATAAATATTTTTCAACTATTAAAAAATGCATATCTTTGGAATAATTTAAGCTAGACTTTTGAAACATTCGTCATGTCGTCTATTCGTCATGTATGTTGATAAAGTAGATATGAAAAATTTATCATCCTGCTCTGACTTCTAATTTTTCAGTTTTACTACATGTTTTTTCATTATCTGAATTGAATCCCTTTTTTTTAATATATATATTTTTAAAAAACCAGATGTCAATACAGGTTTACTTGTAGGCTAAAGGCAATTTTATCAAGCCTTGAAACTTCTGAAGTTACTGCAATGCAGTTTTTACTTCGACCTTTTTACCTCTTCTCTCCATTTTTTTAAAATTCGTTTGATGTTAATCTGATGTATTGAATTTCCCCTTGATCGCTACCAGACTTTATTGTTACACAGAATCCACTTTTCATCTCCCATCATTCATCTTTTAAAGAAGTGGATTATTTTCTCGGCGCCTTTAAAAAGCAAGAAAATGAAAATGCCAGTTATTTTACGTTTCTTACGCTTTTCTATAGCATAAAACGTTTGATGTTATAAAAAAGATAATAGGTACTTTTACATACCAAAGCAATCTCTAAGTGGTTTACATTTTTTATTTATTTATATTTTTTACGAGGGTATGTAAACCCTCAGGGTGCCGGTGTTTTTGGAAAAGCCCATTTGTAAGTATGTCGGATTCGAATGCAGGGCCGCTGGATTCGAACCCGGGACCTTTACCTTACAGTGATGAGAGCCATGTTAACGCTATATACCGTTGCGGCCACCGACGTCCCCTGCATTTTTTATTATTGTAAAAATGACATAAACTGGCGTACTTCCTCATTTTTTCTTAACAATAAACCTTTAAGGTGAATAAGAGAAAATTTGAAATTTCAGGAAAAATTTGTTTTCCTTCCGATTTATAAGTAGCAAATGTATTGCAAGGTTTCAAGAACCTCATCAAAGAAAACAACCAAAAGTTCACATTTAATGCATTTTCAAAGCTTCGGGAGCTTCCTCTTCAGACGTTTTGTGCTCTAGAAATGACGAAATATCTGCATAACAAGTAAAAGAAAAAGTATTTCAGTGAGCATTTCAAAATTTACAATTTCCTTCTTAAAACTGGTCTTTCTACACGAATAGTTGTAAGTTCCCGCTGGTTGTTTAGAATAAATAATAGGAAAATTAAAAAAGAGAAATATGAGACGTGAGTACGGAAATGACTTTTAGGTTTATTTGTGTGAACAAGTCCCATTGCCGGTGGTGTTTACCAAAAGACAAGTGGCAATGTGTGAAGCACGTGTTTTTCTGCACTCGCACACCCTCTTTCGAAAATTTATTTATCCGTTGAATTATTTATTATTCGTGAACAACTTGGGCAATCTACTAATTCGGCGTTCCACACGAATCCGTGGGCTGGCCCCTGTTCAAACTAGGGACAGGGCAGATGGAAAATGACCACGAAATATTTCCAAGGAGTTTGTTTATTTATTGTACAAACTTGTAAGACGGGCGGTTGTGAAAACGTGACTGAAAAAAAAATTCTGCGTTCAAAATGAAAAATTTCCTCTTTGCTCAAACCAACGAAAGCTAGATTAATTAAATGTTACAAATATATAAGTTTGATTTATTTAGTAAATAGACATCTTTGAAATACGACAGCTATTTCAACATAGTGATAATTTGCATAAAATAAACGGTAAATTATTCCCACCTATAAAACACCCTGACATCACAATAAAGTGAGAACAACGGACAACATAACTCCAAAAATATGTGGAGTAGTCATTCATATATCAAAGACGAAAAAGCGTAATAAAAAGCGTGCTAGGGTGACAAATAAATCAACCACAATTTCTCAAACGGCCATCTGTTCCAATCATAGATCAAAGCGCTCGCTTTTTCTGTTGGATGAAAAAATAAAAAAAACAATAAAACACATTATCACGTGTTGTAGTCTTACCTGACCAGGAATCTGCTGAAACAGGTTCGGACTGGTAGTTGGTGTGAACTGTAAAAACAAATAAAACATAAATTAATAAAAGAAACCAATTAATTCACTGAATTTATAATAGAGCGAAGAAGTCTTCCAATTTTAAATGGTAATAAAATAGTAAGCTGGGATAAGTTAAAACAAAGTAAATATTCTTTTGAGCAGAACTCTTTCTGTGAGTGGGTGAAGATTGTATTATATGCATAATCCATTATATTTAGTGGTCTATTGACCAAATTACTTCTTTCAATTAATTAATCTTTTTATGTAAGGTTTTGGTTGAAATGAAAAAGTTAGTGTCACGAGCTGGACTGGTACCCCACTCCCAGACGAATTGGGGTTCGAATCTCGCTCGTGACGCTAGCTTTTTCATTTCAACCAAAACCTTATATACATAATAATCAATTAAAACCAGATCATTAAAAGAAGAAAACTATCTGAAAGTTTCAATTTTAGAACATGTTTAGATAAGTATATGTTTTCCCATCCACCAATCCTCTCTCTCTCTCTCTCTCTCTCTCTCTCTCTCTCTCTCTCTCTCTCTCTCTCTCTCTCTCTCTCTCTTTCCCCATCTGTCTCTTTCTATAAATCTTTCTGTTGCTCTCTCTCTTTTCTCTTTCCCCCTCTGTCTCGTTCTATAATTTTCTCCGTTGCTCTCTCTCTCTCTCTCTCTCTCTCTCTCTCTTTTCTCTTTCCCCCTCTGTCGCTTTCTATAAATCTCTCCGTTGCTCTCTCCCTCACTCCCTCTCTTTCTCTCTCTCTCTCTCTCTCACTCTCTTTCCCCATCTGTCTCTTTCTATAAATCTCTATGTTGCTCTCTCTCTCTCTCTCTTTTCTCTTTCCCCCTCTGCCTCTTTCTATAATTCTCTCTGTTCCTCACTCTCTCTTTTTTCTTTCACCCTCTGTCTCTTTCTATAAATCTTTCTGTTGCTTTTTCGCTCCCTCCCACTCTGTCACTCTCTCGCTCTTTAACTATCTATTTTTCCATAACATACATCTCCCTCTTTCTGCGACACACTTTTTCGCTTTTGTTTGCCTAGTATTTGCAGTCACCTATCTTTCGACTAACCTGTGTACCTCTGTCTATCTTTATATTAAATGTAGATAGAAGTATGTATCATGCTCAAAATTAATATTCTTGATACTAGATGGCAAGTGAGTTATGTGTGTATAATGTTTTCATGATTTTGAAGATACAATTTTTTACTAGAACCAGAATCAATGGCTGGCTTGAAAAAAAAATCACATAGAAAAGCAGGTGTTCAATTTGTTGAAAGTACCCATTTCGTTTAGAGGAAATCAACGAGAGCAATTGATCTCATGCTACATCTTTAATGGCGTGTCGCTCAGAGCCAATTATTATTATTTATTTATTACTAGCGTAGAGTTTTTTTCCAATATCTCGACTAACGATATTAGAGAATATTCAAAACAGGTTCAAAAACCAAAAAGTCAAGATAATTTGTAAACCGTTTTGAAACTGAAAAATGTGTTTACACCGGGATAATGAACGGTGTCCGGATCGTTCTTGTCAAAGCGAATCCTTTTCAGGGCAGCATTCTTTCACGGGACAGAACATTGGCGTCTACAAGGCCCTATAATTTCACCAGACCCAACTCATTCTAATTCAATAACATTTCTTATATCTGTCGCCTAATGGGAGAATAAAAATGTTTGTTTATTGGTTTTACAATGGCGATAAAACGCTTAATGAATAGTCTAGTAGATCGATAATTACAACATTCGTTTACATTTATTCTTTTTGTGCATCCACCTTCTGTACGTTAGCTATAAGAATTTTTAATAAATTGAAAGTAACTGTACAAATTGGGTGGTACCCAATAAAATAGTTGATGCACTAGCTAAGCGGGCCACTACTGAAGTTACTTTACTAGATATAAAGCTACCTATAAATGATGCTTATAATAAGTTTTTAATTAAAAATAGGAACAGATGGCAAGAGAGCTTTGACTGCGCCCGAACAGGTAATTATTATAGGTCTACGTTTCCGATACTTAGGCATAAGCCCTGGTTCATCCATAGTACAGAGGGTAGCAAAAAGTATTTTTCTACTATCACCAGGTTACGAACGAATCATGGTATTTGTGGTCAGTATCTCCATAAGATAAATCTCAGACCCTCCCCTAACTGTCCCACTTGTGATACGGTAGAAGATTTCGACCATATTGTCTTCACGTGTGCAGAGTATGAATATCAACGGGAAGCTTTGTTCAAAAAGATGGATACCATGCAAGAAGTTCTGAAACCGTACAATTGGAAGTCACTATTAGCGCAAGATAGAGAAAGTATTTACAAGGCTATATATTCATTTTTACAAGCTAGTAACATCGCGGTTTGAATTAGGAAAAAATTAAACAATAAATGTAAA